TGTGAATTTGCTACGCGGTTCTGACGCCGCATGAAGGTGTTATATGTCACTTCCTGTGTCCCCTATGTGGAGCTACATAGCACTTGCCGCTATGAGAGTTATCAAGCAGGTAAAGTTTGTTTCAGATGTGAGCATGTACACTGAACAATAATGTACCCAAACAATAAAATAAATTCCTTTTATATTTCCCTGCCTTGTTGTTTATGTGTACATACAGAGGAAGAATGTGAGAACAGCACACATTTCATCATTACTGTGTGTTAGAGCATGGGAGAACAGTGGATACTTTTAATACAGCCCACACCCCTAATACTGTGTAACTATAACAAGTAGAGAACAGAAGAAAAAGATGTTCTTTCTTTACAACTGTCTGCATAGCTTATTCATATTGTGTAATGAATGAAAATAAATAGGCCTACTAGGCTCCTCTCTACTTTGACATTTAAGATTAGCTTGTTTGATCCACCTTCATTCAAGTAATTTCCCTGACATTTTTGTGTTACTTTACTTTTAATAGACGCATGTAACAGGTTTTATACTTCCTGTGAGTATAATCCAATCAATCTTATTTTCATACTGTATATCCGTTGTCTCGCATCGTGTACTACTGAGACTTCATTGCCCTCTTCAGAGAAGACTCTGACTGCAACATGCGTCTTTGTAAAGAGAGAAACGGACAGAAAAAGTCTCTAACTCTGCCTGTCAGCTCGCTCTGCTCCGTTAAAACTGAATTTACCATACAGAATTGAAAACGAGTGCACTCCAGATTTAGCTGCAGCCAGCTGACCGTGTGCTTCTCCCTATACCGCAGTTCTGTGTCCATGCATGCAGCAAACTGAAAGCACTGTCTGTCGGAGCGTCTACGTGAAAAGAGAAGGAAGACATTGCTGGTAGTATTGTCTTCAGAGTTGTTAAACACCTCAGCGCACTGAAGGAAGCCATCTGACTGTGTGAAGAGCAGCTCCTTGATGTCTGCAGGCAGAGTAGGAGCTCTCCTGTCTGACTGGTCCACCAATAGCAGAGAAGATGACCCCTTGAGACACAGCCCCTCCTCATTTGCATAATGAGGCAGAAATGCATACAGAAATTTAAAAAGGACAGGCAGAAATAAATAACATGGGTGAAAATAAATAAGGTAAAAAAATACAAAGGAAGAATAAAACAGACAAAAATATTAAAACAACACACAATAAATACATTTTAAAAATTTGTAATAAATAATAATAATAAATAAAGTTGAAGATTATAAATAAATAAGGTAATTATAACAAAGGTGAATAAGTAAATGCTCTGTACTTGTATAGCGCCTTTCACACTACATCTGCATTCACCAGTCACACACATTTATACACTGAGCCTAAGTGCTCAAACGGAAACTAACATTCACACTCACTCATACACTGGCGGAATAGCCGCCAGGGGCAAATCGGGGTTCAGTATCTTGCCCAAGGACACTTTGACACACAACCAGGGGGAGCCAGGGATTGAACCGCCGACCTTCCGATTAACGGCCAACCTGCTCTACCTCCTGAGCCACAGCCGCCCCATAAGTAAAGAATAAGTAAAGGCATAAGTAAAGGCACTAATTAAAATATATACATTTATGTCTCCTTGTATAATTTAATTACTACCTACATTTATTTATTTACTTTATTTTTTTGTGTATTTAATTGGATGCTTGTTTATTTATTGAGCATTTATTTATTTATGTATTTATTTCTGACTGTGTCAGGATCGGTCCTCCATAGCGGGGTGGGAGAGTTATCAAGCACGTAAAGTTTGGTTCAGATGTGAGCATATACACTGAAGTTACAACAACTTCCTGTGTCATGGCGAAGAGTTGATCTTTGACGCCACGCCACTGACAAACTCACAGATAGCACAACTTTTCATCGTCAATGACTTTAGAAGGCGCAGCAAAACTTTGAAGATCGGACTAAATCCCTAGGAGGAGTTCGTTAAAGTACGGAGTGTGTAAATCATCCAAAAATGACTGTAAAATTCAAAATGGCCGACTTCCTGTTGGGTTTAGGGCATCACTCCAAGAGGCTTTTTGGTACGTCTGGACATGATACATGGGCCACAGAAATTTCATACATGTAGCTGAAACGTGCCACGGGGCTGCTTCGTTAAATGTTATTTCCTGTTGCCAGCAGGTGGCACTATGACCATGGGTGAATGTCAGCATGTACATGTGTCTCGCACGGTTTGTGCTCGGGCCCTAAATAAAATAAAATCAGAAAGACTTCAGTGTAGACAACACAAATATACACACTATGAACAAACAACAATATAGACATATTGACAAATAGTGCAGTGATCAGAGTGCAAAGGATGCAGGTGGATGTACATGTCGGAGGTGGATGTGATATACATGTACACAGTGCAGTGAAGAATAGTGCAAAGGATGCTGGAATAAGTATTTTGTGCAGGAGTTATGACTTGAGGTAGGTGGATTTGGTATACACTATCTACGATATAACAGTATGAACAGCTCTGAAATAGAGAATGGTGAATAAGTAAATAATAAATGTTAGCCAGTAAACAGGTGCTGATTAGAGACAGAGTTACTGGATTATTGCACAAGAATTGTTCCTGACACCGTGAGTCAGAAATCACCTGTTCATCAGAGTGATGGCTTGTGGGAAGAAACTGTTCCTGAGTCTGTTGGTTTTGGCGTACAGTGCTCTGTAGCGCCTCCCAGAGGGGAGAAGCTGGAACAGGTTGTATCCGGGGTGAGATGGATCTGCGGTGATGTTTCCTGATTCTGGAAATGTATAAGTCTAAGTCTAAGTTTTTTGCAGTCTTGACTGTCCGTTGTAGTCTCCTCCTGTCCTTTTTGGTGGCAGATCCAAACCAGACAGTGATGAAGGTGCAGAGGACAGACTGGATGATGGCTGTGTAGAACTGGATCAGCAGCTCCTTAGGCAGGTTGAGCTTCCTGAGCTGGTGCAGGAAGTACATCCTCTGCTAGGCCTTCTTGATGATGGTGTCAGTGTTGGGCTCCCACTTCAGGTCCTGGGAAATAGTGGATCCCAGAAACCTGAAGGATTCCACAGCAGACACAGGGCTGTTGAGTATGGTGATGGGGGGCAGAGTCGGGGGGGCTCCTCCTGAAGTCCACGATTATCTCCACAGTTTTGAGCGTGTTAAGCTCCAGGTTGTTCTGACCGCACCAGAGAGCCAGCTGATCAACCTCCCGTCTGTAGGCCGACTCATCACCGTCCTGGATGAGGCCGATGACCGTTGTGTCGTTAGCAAACTTCAGGAGTTTGACAGATGGGTCTCCTCCGATGTTGGAGTGGCGGAAAGGTGTGACTGTGGGCTTCTTAAACCTACAATAAAAGCCACTCAGCTCGTCTGCCAGTTGTTGAGTACCAGCAGAGTTGGGGGATGGTCTCCCGTAGTTGGTGAGTGTCGGTAGGATCGTTGGCAGCAAAGCTGTTATTTAGCTTTTCGGCGTAGCTCCTCTTTGCAGCTTTGATTTCCTTAGTCAGAGTGTTCCTGGCCTGGTTGTACAGGACTCTGTTCCCACTTCTGTAGGCCTCCTCCTTGGCCTGACGAAGCTGCCTGAGTTTTGCTGTGAACCAGGGTTTTTGGTTGTTGTATGTGCGGAAGGTTTTAGTCGGCACACACACGTCCTCACAAAAACTGATGTAAGATGTCACAGTGTCATTTAGTTCGTCCAGGTCAGTGGCTGCAGCCTCAAAAACACTCCGGTCAGTGCAGTCAAAGCAGGCATGTAACTCCAGCTTTGACTCGTCCATCTTTTCACAGTTTTTACAAAAGGTTTAGCAGATTTCAGTTTTTGCCTGTGTGTCGGGAGAAGATGAACCAGACAGTGATCAGAGAGTCCCAAGTCCTAAGGTCCTTTAATGTTGTGTAGCAGTGGTCCAGTGTGTTAGTGTCCCTGGTGGGACACTTAATATGCTGTCTGTATTCTGGAAGTTCATGACTGAGGTTTGCTCCCTAAGAACAATGAGCAGGGAGTCTGGATGTTTTTTCTCCACGTTGGTTATCTGGTCGGCCAGGTGTAGTAACGTCTCACTAACACAGGCCTGAGGTGGAATGTAAACAGCGACCAGAACAAACGAGGAAAACTCCCGCAGTGAATAAAACTTTCCAACCTTCGTTTATATAGAAACAGAGTCCGCCTCCCCGTGTTTTTCTTGTGATTTTCCCCTAATGTCAGTAACCTGAAAGGTTCCCTCTGTTAGAACGGTGTCTCTGTTAAAAAGACGAAAGTTTCTATTGGGCTTGTGAAGTGCACTTCTGATTAACACATTTAAACCTGTTAAATGCAGAGCTTCATAGTCTACAGAAAATAAATTTCACCTGACACATTTTTTACAGTGACAGCGGTGAAGGAATGTCCTGGCAAATTTACTGATTGTGATTCAGATACAGTAAATAAGAATATAAAGATATTTGTCCTCTGATGTCTGCAGAGATTGAGACACATTTCGGACAGCAACGTGAAGATGGACATCATCCTGCTGGTTGCAGCAGAGGAGGCTGCTGGTTCTGTTGGTCTTCTTCGAACTGGATGAAACTGGTCTTAAAACTGGTTTCACTTCCCTCTCTGAGCTCAGTAACCATGGCAACAGACCTTGCATCATTGTTGAACCATGGCAACAGGCAGGTTTCAGTACTAAAGATAAAAGTGTGATGTTTTACTGCAGTGTAAATTTTGATCACCAAAACCATCAGATGTTGGTGGTTAACTGTGAACAGGAGAACCAGTTAGAACAGGTCAGCTGATAGAAAAGTTAGTTAGTTATAACTTCTATTGTTAGTTTGTGTTAATCTGCATGAGGATGTTTTAAACAGGCAGCTGTCCCAGCAGTGAGGAGGAAACAGCATGATATGTTGAGGACAGCTACAGTTCACTGACTCTGTGTGTTTGCATATCTGTCCTGCCTCTCTGCTCCCAGCCGTTAAGAGGCCAGTGTTGATCAGTGGCTGTCCAGGCCTTTCAGAGCCACTGACACGCCGGCAGCACAATGATGATGTCACTGATTCTACTGCTGGCCACCCTGGGGCTCCTTGTTCAGGGTGAGACTCTCTTCTGAAAACTTTGCTTCAGGATGCAACCAGGTTCTGCTGTGATGGAGAAACACTGAAACAAGCAGCATTTACCTTCTTCCATCTGTTCTCCATCTTAAAGAAATGAGACTCTTCTGTTTGGATGCTGATCATCTTTCTCCAAGCTGGATTTGTCTCAATAACCCTTCTCCTCTTTTTCATCTTTTCCAGGTTCATCAGGAGAAACCATCCTGACTCAGTCTCCTGGATCTCAGTCTGCTGTTCCAGGACAGGCTGTCTCTCTCAAATGTAAAACCAGTACAAGTGTTAGTAGCTACCTCAACTGGTACCTTCAGAAACCTGGAGAAGCTCCTAAACTCCTGATTTATTATGCTACAACCCGTCAGTCTGGAGTTCCAGATCGTTTTAGTGGAAGTGGATCTGGGACTGACTTCACTCTGACCATCAGTGGAGTTCAGGCTGAAGATTCAGGAGTTTACTACTGTCAGCAGAGTAACAGCTTCCCGTTCACACAGTGATACAACGTCGTACAAAAACCTCCCTCAGCTGGAGAGGAACTGATCTGACTCAACAGCTGCACTGAAACTAAAACAGAGGTTTATAAAAATGCACATTTAGCCAATAATTATTCACATTAATGATTGCAACACTAAATATTCTTTAATATATAATATTCTAGAAGTTATACTTCTAATATGTTTATTAAAACAGATTTTGAACCATTCTTCTGAACATTAAAGCTAACCTCTGTTGAATTATGATGTGTGTGATATTCATGAAAACACAAGGACACAGATTGTAAATATTATTTATTATTTTATATCTTACCATTTTTTCATTGAATCTCAGATATACTATAAATTAATTTCATTAATTGCAGTTAAATGACTAGTCATGTTTATAACAACATGTATTTATAACTTAAATTATGTTTTTTATCCCAGCAAATAAATTCATTTTAGTATGAAAGTAGTAAATCATTAATATTTGAATTGTTTCCTTTGGTCAACTTTTACATGTCTTTCTTCAGCAGAAGCAGTATGTACAGCATCTGACAAAAGTGAGTACACCCCTCACATGTTGTCAATATTTGATTATATCAAACAGCTTGTATAACAGTGTAAATTTGCTGTCCCCTCAAAATAACACATCACACAGCCATTAATGTCTAAACCGCTGGTGACAAAAGTAAGTAGGCCTACACTCCTAAGTGAAAATGTGCAAATTGGGCCGCCATGGCGCTCAGCAGTCCCATTGTGACACCAAAATGTGTGACCTATCAGATTCTGTGACCCAAATGAGAAGTTAAGCGCCAGAGGCTTTGTTGACGATGTGAAGCGGTTGCAGTTTGGTTGTGTTTAGGCAACAAAAGTACTTGGTTATGGTTAGGAGAACATCATCGTTTGGATGTAGTCACAGAATCTGATAGGTCACACATTTTGGTTTTACACCGTTATGCCAATTGTTTAAACGTGTGTTGATAAGCAGGCTGTCATTTCATGAGCTACAGCTATGTATTTCAAAGATAGAAGCAGAACAGCAGAAGAAGGATAAATGCCCAAGAAGTTCTGCTGAGTGAGGGAGGATCAGATGGGGGAGAGATAACAGCCGGCATGGGTGCTTCTGTCTGTGTGTGCGCGTGAGAGAGAGAGAGAAAAAGAGATATAGGCTAACTAATGGACTGCTACCAAATATTTGATTTTTAACTTTGTTATGGCAAGGCTAGCAGACCCAAGTGCAGGACTAAGAGAGAGAGGATTTAAATAAAAGAGGAATATTTATTGCAGGGTAAAGGGATGCCGAACCGGGTTGATCGCTGCTGTACAGAGCGGGGGGGAACCGTAACTGAGAGTCCAGAGTGAGAGAGTCTGATCCGAGCAGGTCCAGAGCAGAATCCGGGAATAGTTTAGCCGGACTGGGGTCCAGGCAGAGAGCAGACGGGATGAGCTTATTTTCGGTAGCAGAACTAAATCTAACACGTTATAATGCAAAATTCACTTTTAACTTTTATTATAGCGACTAAATGCTCTTCTTCTACAATCGCCTAATATCATTTTAAAAGTGTTCATTATGTTTTTGTTTGTGGTAGCCTGGAGTTTAGGCCTACTTATTAATTTTAAAATGTAGGAAATTTGTCTGTTTTGATCTGTAATTAAGATATTGTAAAATTAATAAACGCCATAACTTCCACAGTACTGCTGTCCTCACTCAGTTTAAAGTGTTCTCACACAACTCAGGGCTTTGTTTTGTTTTCCCTTTGATGTGAACTGGAGCGTTGGATTATGTTCACTGCTGTCGGCGGAGTTCAGGAGCGTGAAAAAAACCCCTCAATAATCAAATCTCGACATTGAAAATCAAATGTGTACCCAACAGTCGAATATTCACATATTCAGGTCCAAGACACTTCAGACACTTAACCCCTCATTGCTCCAGAGGTGTACGACCTCTGACATATTGTAAGTCACTTTGAAAGCGTCACCTAAATTTGTGTATTTTGTATTCCAACAAAAAATGTGTTTTATGATTGAAACCAAAAAGGGTTTATGGAGTAAGTAAATCACTAAAATTTGAATTCTTCCCTTTTGTCATCTTTAATTTGTCTTTGATGTTCTTCAGCAGGAGGAGAATGTTAATAGTTCCTGCTTAGAATAGCAGATTACTCATTTTATTTCTCACTATGCTGATGATATGGTGCTTTATATTTCAGGTTTGTAAATTCTATGACAGCCATGTAGTTTTATATAAATAACACAATAAGTATCATTAAAGCATCTATATTAACAGATGATAGGATGATAAATGATTGAGGGGTTTCTACATTGGGTTTTGTTCCAAAGGTTTATTATTACAGACAAATCTCTAACGACTACAGTAGCAAGTGTTTGACAGCCATTAGGCATTCATATTAATTCTGACCAAATTATTATTTGTATAGTATTATTGATAATTGGCCTTATACTGCTAACATCACTAGTTTGTACAAATCCAACTGTACTGTGACATTTTTTAAAATTTACTGTGGAGATATTACCATTATGTCAGCCCAGTTTCTCTGGATGTAATACATTCACCGACACCATCAAGAGAACATTTATTAAGACACGTTGATAATAATAAACATGAAAACAGCTGATTGGATGAAAAGGTCTTTATTATCTGAAAACACTGAAATAATATTGAAACAGTGCAACAAGCTAGTAAATCTTGCTGTTGAAAGATGTCAAATAAAAGAGAGAGACAGTTCCAGAGTGCAGAGTGAGAGCAGGAGCAGAGGAAAACCAGTAGCAGAGTCCCAGTGAGTCAGGTCAGGACTGGGAACACTGGTCTCTCCTCAGTGTCTCTGAGAGCGGAGTCTGGGAGCCCTGGGTGGCCTCACAGGTCACAGAGCCCACCTTCCTCCACTGGTCTGCAGAGAGCCTCAGGGTGCTGCTCCAGCTGTAGTGGCCGTCCTTCTGCAGCACCCCGGGGCTCCTGCTCTCCTCCCAGCTGCTGCTGCTGCTGCTGCTGCTGCTGCTGCCGTCCACCTTCCAGGCCAGACTCCAGTCTGAGGGGAAGCCCTTGTTGGCCAGGCACATGAGCGTGGCCTTCCCCTGCTGCAGCTCCTCGCTGGAGGGGGGCAGCACCGTCAGGGTGGGACGGACATCACCTAGGAGAAGAACCAATCAGCTTAGAGGACGGGGACCACACAGCTGGTTTCTGCTCCACCAGTCACTCACTCACACATTGTTTCACTTCCTTTAAGAAACCTCTCATGCATATCAGCACAGAAAGAGTCCTCATATGAGCTGAAAGATATCAAACTGCACTGGAAATAAAACAACCAGGTTTTAAATTTGGAAATACAAAAAACATATTTACTGTCAAAACTCTCAAAAGGGCAAAAGTTACTGAGATCCACTGTTAAAGGACATTATCAGCCCAAAATACCTGACGACCACAGGTAACCTGATCCTCAGACAGATTTAAAAACAGCATCAGAGAACTGTCAACATTATTTCAAACTGAGGTTAAAAGACAATTTGAGCCATTTTAGAAGATCAGAGATTTGGAAACATTTTTATCTTCATTCACACTATTCAAACTAATTTGAACTCAGCTTCTAAACAGTTTAAAATGCAGAATTAAAGGCTGAATCATTTTTAAAGTACGAGTGTTGTTCTTTAATCTTTGCTGCAGTTCAAGCTGTTCACATTTCACAAATTAAATGGAACGTTTAAAGAGAAGTTCAGTAAAGCTGCTTTGAGTTCAGCTTCATGGTTAAACAGGAGAAACGAACAATAAGATTGAGTCTTTAAAGTGATTTAGATCAGTCCAGAGGAAATTTATATCTACTACAAATGTTCAGACACAGAAATTAAAACCTTCGCTGATGATACGATATTTAATATTTGTGCAGAAACTTACTTCCAAACTCCAGTCTGGTTCCTCCACCGAACGTGTACCACAGTGATACAAACTGATTGAGTCGTCGTACAAAAACCTCTCACTGTAGAGAGACACGGCTCTCTGACTTTGAACACAACAAACACAACAAAAACACTTGCTGTTTTTAAAAGAATGAACTATTTCATGTTATATTTATCAAACAGTGACACAGTTGTTCAGAATGAATCCCATTTTTACGTATATATTGTTCCATTGGTGTGAAAGTCAAATTGATCCCTCTAGAATGAAATGAAAGCAGACAGAAGATGTTGTAAAAGAAAATCTTTCTGCAGTCATCAAAGCAAATGTCCATAAAAATGATCACTGACACATTCCTAATCAATCCTCTGGTAAACGTATTGATCCATTGAGAAGCAGCATCATCAGAGTAATCCAAGTCCCTGTTGGAGTCAGTCAGAGCATTTCCATAGAGAGCCACTTTGCATCAGCAGCACCATGCTCCAGTGCTCTGGGAGACTTTATAGTCCTGAGAGTTGAACACTGGATGACTGACAGCTGTCCTTCATGACAACAGAAGCCACAGAAATCCTCCTCATCAAAAACATGACTTTGGTCTCCGTCCTCATCTGGACTCTCCTCTGCTGCTGCTTCACAGGTAAAGTCCAGAGAATCAAACTCCTCTCCTCTATGAACATCCATCCCTCTGAAATGAAGCCCACAAAACCATGACGCTGCTTTATGTGTTTGTCTCTGTATCCTCAGAGTCCAGAGGCCAGATCACAGTGACTCAGCCTGGAGCAGTGAGCTCTGCTCTGGGAGCCTCCGTCTCCATCAGCTGTCGGGTCAGTGAGGAGGTTTATGGATCAGATAGTTTAGCCTGGTACCAACAGAAAGATGGAGAAACTCCTGAACTCCTCATTTACGATGCTAGCACTCGAGAATCAGGGATTCCAGATCGTTTTTCAGGCAGTGGATCAGAGACTGACTTCACTCTGACCATCAGTGGAGTTCAGGCTGAAGATGCAGCAGTTTACTACTGTCAGAGTTATCATTATATCAACAGTCAAGCTGTGTTCACACAGTGAAAAAGCGTCGTACAAAAACCTCCCTCAGTCAGACTGAACAGAAACTGAACTGACTGCTGCAGCTGGAAGCTACTGCAGAGACTGATACAGTTCACTGAGGACACACACACACACACACACACACACACACACACACAGATGATTTCTGATGCTCATTGCGTCTCCACCAGTTTTCCTCCTGAAGTTCAAACAGTCCTCCTCAACAAGCTGAAAGTTACCTCAGATGAAGAGAACAGTTCCAGTGAAGAAGCCCAGTCAGACCATTAAAACCACAACAGCAGCAGAGTCAGCTCCACTGATGTAGAGACACAAACCAAATTCACAATATATCAAACATCAACGTCCACACATCACACTGAAATCTCAGGACACTGAAGCTCCATATCTGCAATGCAACAAATGTTTTCTGTGGCAGAAACACTGACGCTCAGAAACATAATGGATTCTGGGCCACAGTTCATACTGTACATGTCACTGAACAACCTGCGACTGTCTAAAGGCAGAATTACATTTTGGTTTGGACACATTATTAGGCTAAAAATAATTTAGCCTAAAAATACAAATTACCAACAAAGAGAAACTAATGACAAAAAAATAAATATTCAAAACCCTGTTTTCACCTCCTGGACAAACAGATTGACAGAAGATAATGATATTTGAAGCAATTCAATGTGAATCAGATTCATTCTCTTCACACTGAGCTCTTCCTTAAAGGAGCTACGCTGCTCTTATTACACCGTCTCGATTCATGCAGATCCACTCGGGTATTAGACACACAGACCTGAAACATTTGGCAGTAAAACATGACACTACCTGACCTGATAAGACCAAATTAGTATGGAAGAGGAACCCAGTATGACCTGGGCTCCGGGTCAGGTCTCAGTTCTTCAGGATCTGTGAAGACCTCACATCATATCAAGATCGTCAGCACTGGTCTTTATATTTAGTGTCTGAGAATATAAGGTGCTCCAACAATCAGGCCTTTAGTCTGTTAGATCCCAAGTTACCCCTGTCCAGGAGGTACTGCTCCAGATCACTGGTAAAAGGGTCAGATCCTCAGGCCTAGGGGTATTAACCTTTAGGTATAACTGGGAAGTGTTTAAGCTGGTTGTGAGGAGACTAGCCTAGCTTCTCACTGTCTTCATCTGGACGCCTTTCCTGTTTAATCTGAAACAGCACCTGACCAAATATCCCTAAAGCCAAATACCCATGCCCATTAATGGTAGCTCTCTTGTCATTGTTCAGTGCACTTGGTATGGTTGCTATGACAATATTTAATGGCCAGGAAAATAGGCCACGAGGATATGTTAATTTATTTGGCTGGAGCAACTCATAAGAAACTTTAAAAATGTTGAATACACTATACCTAGTAAATTATTGCCTTGATGAAGAAACAATCTAAGTGTCTACAACTTGTACTTTAAATTAGGTTTTAGGATTTCACTCTTAAATTAAGAAAGAAAAATAAAATTGATTTAGTCACTTCTAATGTTCAGTATCAATATCATCATAAAATTAGTTAATCAGATAATATTTTACTTCAAAACCATCTTTCATAGTCAATCATTTTACAGCTCATACATGTATGTTTCTCTAGATGGAAAGTACTTTACACTTCCCTCTACTCACTCACTGTTACTCACACCTGATAAAACGTTCCATTTTCCTTCATGCTGGTTTATGAATATAGAGGAATCTCAACTTTCTCAGTCTCATCTCTGTTCAGCTGCTGGAATTTGTGCCAAATATGTATTAACATAGAAATTTACATGTTTATTGACCAGGCACAGGTAATTTTGTGATAAAAAATGCACAGGTGTTTATTATCTACATACATATACAAATGAATTCCATGTCCCTTGCTATTAAGCAAATGCAGCATGTAAAGTCAGCAGAGATTGAGTCTTGCGGGACACCTAGAATTTAACTGACAGTAGATGATGAATGTGACCAAGTGAGACAACATCATGTCTGCCTGACAGATAAGGACTGAACCAGTTTAACACTGTGACAGTGAGGGCAACATATCTCTGCAGTCTATGTAGACGTGTCCCTTATTTGCCGTCTTATTGAGGTGATAATTAGCAGTTTCTTAACCAAGGGTGTCGTTCCCTCCAGTTTCAAACATGCAATTCTGCAACCCCTTTTAAGGAAACCTAGCCTTGACTCCAATGACAAAAACTACAGGCTCATCTCCAAGCTACCATTCATTTCCAGCATTTTAGAAAAAGAGGTCCTCCTCGTACTTGAACACATCAAACATCTTTGACAAATTCCAGTCTGGTTTTAGAGAACTTCATAGTACTGAATCTGCCCTGTTAAGGTACATAATGACATCCTTCTCTCTGTCAACTCTGATTCTAGTGCCATTTTAGTCCTGCTTGATCTTAGCTTAGGACATAGTCGAACATGGAATTCTATTCAAATGCCTGGCGGACAAAGTTGGTCTATAGGGCGCTGTGTTAAAATGGTTTACCTCCTACCTGAGAGAAATAATTTTTACTGCTATTAAATGTGGCATCCCTCAAGGCTCAGTTTTAGGCCCTCTCTTATTCTGGCTATACATGCTTCCCCTTGGCACTATCTTTCAGAAAAACAATGTTTTGTATCACTGTTATGCGGATGACACACAGTTTTACATACCAGATGCACACAAAATGTTGTTATTTATTTAAAGCCCTCCATAGTTTAGCTCCACAATACATTGTCAGGACTGGCCGCGTGCAGAGGCAGGTTAGGAACCAAACGCAAGACACAGACAAGCAGTAAGCAGTTCTTGTATTTATTAATGATATGCTAATTACATATTCTGCGCCTAGGTCACTTAGGTCATCCTCAAAACAACTCACTTACAACTAAAGGTGACCAGGCTTTTTCTGTTGCTGCCTCCAGGCTAAGGAATCGTCTTCCGTCCAACATTAAGTCACGCACCACCACTGAGATCTTCAAATCTAATTTAAAGATCTACCTTTTTTTTCTGGCTTTTACCTGATTCTGACCCAATAGTTTTTATCAGGCCCAAATTGAATTATTTTAAATGTTCTCTTACAGCATTCAACCTGACATTGTTCTAATTTATTTCCTTTTAGTTTCTTTGATTTTGATATTAACCGAGTACTCCAAACATGTCACCACTTTAATTTGCTTCAGTGCTTCAGCCCGTCTCTGACACTGACATGTTAATGTTTCAGGTCAAAACTGAAGATAAATTGATCTGAATATTTAAGAAATATAGATATTTTATGAACTTGTAACTTACTATTTGTTCCCATTCCCATTGTCATGACAAAAACTGTGTAGCTGTTCATAACAAAGCTCTTGTTTAAACCATAAACCTCTTGGGCCAGTCCCTCTATGTATGCTTTAAAAAAAACTGTACATTATGTTTTAATGTGTTTTAAAGGTTTAAGGTTTGGCCACTGCCGCTGTATAATGCCTCATACATTTATTATCCACTCACTCTCTATATAATTGAGCCCACATTCCTGAGTGCCTTTTATAGAACCCAGGTGCATGTAGGAGTGGAGGCAGTGTTAGCATCATCATGACTGTAAAAAGTCTAGAAAACATCAGCAAAAGTTTAAATAGTGCAAAAATAAGTGAATTAATGAGCGTTTGGTGCCATGAAAAATCAGTTTGATCCAGTTTTAGTTGGAACGTCCCAGAACCCTCATTGCAGGAAAACAACCAGTTTTTGTATGAAATGTATTGTATAAGAGAAAGTTGGGTTTTGGAGCATTAAAGAGGTGGTATTATGCTCACTTTCTGGTTCAAAATTTTATTTAGGGGTTGTACCAGAACAGGTTTACGTGGTTTAATTTTCAAAAAACACCATATTGTTTGTCATACTGCACATTGCTGAAGCTCCTCTTTTCAGCCTGTGTTGGAGGCTTCGTTCTAGTCTCTAAATGATCTTTATTGAGTGTTGCACATGCACAGTTCCTAGTTAAACACTACTAGCCAATCAGAAACAAAGAAGGGCGGGTCAGTGAGAAGCCGGTAAACAGCTTCGGTTCAGCTATACATGTTGCCGACCAGCTTGGCAACATGGACTGGAGCAAGAGTTTCAGAGTGGTGAGTTATTAATCTGTAACAAAAGTATCTTTCATCTATAAAGTTTTAACTGAGCTCTGTCTCTACATCACGGAACAACTTTATGTCCACTGTCTGCCTGGAGGGTAGCTAGTGTTTGGAAGGGAGAGGAGAGGTGTGTGCTGCAGCTCATTGTTTTTCCACCGCTGTTTTTTGAGGGCATGTCGGAGTAGCCGCTTATATGAGGCGCATTTGGCTTTCATCCCTGTGACTTCACAGCAGAGATTTCTGTGGGAGATGGGAACTCCCTTTGGGCTGGACTTTGGGCTTTTTCACTTTGCAAACCTGTTACATGCACAAAAAAGATATATAACTCAATAAAGGAGAGGGGAAAAGCCAAAAAGCATAATACCACCTCTTTAAGTGTATGTAATGTAATTTCATTTTATGAAGTTGTAAGGGTGTAAAAATGTAGTTGAAATGTAACTGTAATGTCCAAACAATTAAATAAATATTAAACCAGTGAGACAACATCATGTCTGCCTGACATATAAAGACGGAACCAGTTTAACACTGTGACACAGAGGGCAACATATCTCTGCAGCCTATGTAGACGCTTACTAATTTATTCGACTTAATGTCTAAAGTGAAATTAATAATGTTTGGTCTTGTGTTTTGCTAATGCTGTTTTCATGCTGCCCTCTTGGCCAGATCTTTTATTAAAAAAAGGCTTTAATTAGTTAGGTTAGTTTGGTTAGAAGATTTTTACTTAAAAAAGTTAATTTTCAGTTACAGTCGGATGTTTAAACAGCATCTGTCCCAGCAGTGAGGAGGAAACAGCATGATATGTTGAGGACAGCTACAGTTCACTGACTCTGTGTGTTTGCATATCTGTCCTGCCTCTCTGCTCCCAGCCGTTAAGAGGCCAGTGTTGATCAGTGGCTGTCCAGGCCTTTCAGAGCCACTGACACGCCGGCAGCACAATGATGATGTCACTG